GTGTGATACCTGGCCATCATTTGGGACTGAACCAGCTGATATTAATTTGCACTGACAAGGGGCAGGCTTGCTTTCTCAATACTTTTTCCCTGTGCCATTCCACATTATTACAAATAACTTCATTTCTGGACATTTATGGTTTTATTTCTTTGTATGTATGGATCACTTGGGTTGTTACCGAAATCTGGTGAAAATTTCATGTCATCAGCACCTCTAGTAATATCTTTACTGAGAAAAATGTTGACGTGTTCAATACTTATTTTACCTGCTGTAAATCTTGCTGTATCATTTTGCATTCTGAATTTTTTTGCACTGTTACTGTCATCTTCTGCCTAATGCAGGAGGTTGTCTGTGTGAGAATCGGATGGGTCAAAGTGGTGACTTTTCTTTCTGTTCAGGACCTTTTTGATGGTGTTTTGAAGGACATGAAAGCTGAAGCTGAGGTGTTTTGGCTACAAGGAGGCAGCCATGGACTGACAGTGAAAGGAAGGTCTGAAGAGTCTGTAATGGATGAAGTCAACTTAAAAGTCATCAGCTGGATCAAAAAAGAAGTTTAAATAAATTATCATTACATGCTTTTTTTTGCTTTATTTTTAAAATCATTTTATTTTTCAACTAATGTATTCATAATTAAACATGAAACTATGTTCACATACTTTGTTTTAGCTTTATTATGAACACAAATTGAAACACAAAATGTGCTGCTGTCCCTTTAAAACGATCTGTGACGTAATCAGCCGCTCTAACGCTATTGGTTAGACGACTTCCGCATCTTTAAGACTGCACGAACATGGCAGGAGTATCCTGGAACAGTGTAAACATCTTATTTCCTAGTGCGGCTTCAGCTGTTCGCATCAAGTTTACTTCAGCAACAGGTTCGGATGTTAAAAACCTTCATGTCACGTTTCTGTGTGTTGTCTCGTTCGCTCGGTAACGCGCCAAAATTGGTTCTTTCTTCCACACGTGGGAGTGCACGTGTTATGCAGAAGTGTTGAATGATTTGCTGTTATTTTGCAGCTACGGTTTTGAAGCTCCTGTTGTCGGAAAACGAGCAGGTCCTGAAGCTGATCCGCAGCGAGATTCTTCAGACGGAGACCCGAGTTTTATACGAGCTGCTGTACCTTTTGAACAACAGCTTCAGAGCCAACAAGACGTTCAAAGGCTTACAGCAGGTCAGGACCTGAATATCCTCCATACCAGTCTGCAACAAGTCGCATATAATGTCAGACGTGTGTGTGATGTCAATGTCAACTTAAAGTTAATTTTTTCCCCCAGGTTGAACAATGTATAAACAAACTGAAGAACATGAAGCTGTGTGCTGCTCTTCAGGACCTGGTTGATCTTTGTCCACCACAGAGACAAATGTAGGTAACAGCTGATTGATAGGTGCTGTCTCACTGTAACATTTTAGACTACTTCTGAAAAACTTTTTCTTTTGACTAAATTACTGCAAAGGGTTGTTAATTCAGTCTATGTCCAAAAGATATGAAAGCGGATTATTGAGGGAAAAAAATCTGACTTTAATCTCAGAATTCTCAGGGGGGAAAAGTCAGAAAGACAGAATAAAACAAAAGTCAAAATTCTGAGATCTATCTATCTATCTATCTATCTATCTATCTATCTATCTATCTATCTATCTATCTATCTATCTATCTATCTA